CCAAGGACGTTAAAGATCTCTATGATGAAAATTACAAAACCTTAAAGAAAGAAATAGAAGAGGATACCAAGAACTGGAAAATTCTTCCATGCTCATGGATTGGAAGAATCAATATCATCAAAATGTCCATTCTCCCAAAAGCAATTTATAGATTCAATGCAATACCAATCAAGATACTGAAGACCTTCTTCTCAGATCTGGAAAAAATGGTGCTGAAATTTATATGGAGGCACAAGAGACCTCGAATAGCTAAAGCAATCTTGTACAACAAAAACAAAGCCGGAGACATCACAATACCAGATTTCAGGACATACTACAGGGCAGTTGTAATCAAAACAGCATGGTACTGGTACAGAAACAGATGATAGACCAATGGAACAGAATTGAAACACCAGAAATCAATCCAAACATCTACAGCCAACTTATATTTGATCAAGAATCTAAAACCAATTCCTGGAGCAAGGACAGTCTATTCAATAAATGGTGCTGGGAAAACTGGATTTCCACGTGCAGAAGCATGAAGCAAGACCCCTACCTTACACCTTACACAAAAATCCACTCAACATGGGTTAAAGACCTAAATCTACGACCTGACACCATCAAGTTATTAGAGAACATTGGAGAAACCCTTCAAGATATTGGCACAGGCAAAGAGTTTCTGGAAAAGACCCGGGAGGCACAGGCAGTCAAAGCCAAAATCAACTATTGGGATTGCATCAAATTGAGAAGTTTCTGTACTGCAAAAGAAACAGTCAGGAGAGTGAAGAGGCAACCGACAGAATGGGAAAAAGTATTTGCAAACTATGCAACAGATAAAAGGTTAATAACCAGAATCTACAAAGAGATCAATAAACTCCACAAAAACAAAACCAACAACCCACTTAAGAGATGGGCCAAGGACCTCAATAGACATTTTTCAAAAGAGGAAATCCAAATGGCCAACAGGCACATGAAAAAATGTTCAAGATCACTAGCAATCAGGGAAATGCAAATCAAAACCACAATGAGGTTTCACCTCACCCCGGTTAGAATGGCTCACATACAGAAATCTACCAACAACAGATGCTGGTGAGGATGTGGGGGAAAGGGACACTAACCCACTGTTGGTGGGAATGCAACTGGTCAAGCCACTATGCAAGTCAGTCTGGAGATTCCTCAGAAACCTGAAGATAACCCTACCGTTCGACCCAGCCATCCCACTCCTTTGAATTTACCTAAAGGAAATGAAATTGGCAAACAAAAAAGCGGTCTGCACCCTAATGTTTATTGCAGCTCAATTCACAATAGCTAAGACCTGGAACCAACCTAAATGCCCATCAACAGTAGACTGGATAAAGAAATTATGGGATATGTACTCTTTAGAATACTATACTGCAGTAAGAAACAACGCAATCCAGTCATTTGCAACAAAATGGAGGAATCTGGAACACATCATGCTGAGTGAAATAAGCCATTCCCAAAGGGACAAATACCGTATGTTCGCCCTGATCGGTGACAACTGACTGAACACCAGAAAGGAAACCTGTTGAAGTGAAATCAACACTATGAGAAACGGTGACTTGATTAGCATAGCCCTGACTGTTAATGAACAACTTAATACATTATCCCTCTTAGTAGTTTTTTTTTGTCTGTTCTACTTAATATGACTGGTTTAATTCTGTAATTTATACACAGTTATTCTTAAGTGTTGAAATTTAACTGAAATGTGATCCCTGTTAAACATAAGAGTGGGAATAAGAGAGGGAAGAGATGTACAATTTGGGACATGCTCAAGCTGACTTGCCCCAAATGGTAGAGTTAGAAACATACCAGGGGATTCCAATTCAATCCCATCAAGGTGGCATGTACCAATGCCATCTCACTAGTCCAAGTGATCAGTTTCAGTTCACAATTGATCATAATTAAAGGACTAAGAGTCAAAGGGAGCACATAAACAAGTCTAGTACCTGCTAATACTAACCGATAGAATAAATAAAGGGGAGAGTGATCCAACATGGGAAGCGAGATACTCAGCAGACTCATAGAATGGCGGATGTCCTAAACAGCACTCTGGCCTCAGAATCAGCCCTAAAGGCATTCGGATCTGGCTGAAAAGCCCATGAGAGTATTTCAGGCATGGAAAGCCAAGACACTCTGGGAAAACAAACAAAGAAACAAACAAACACCTAAATGAAAGATCTCTGTGAGTGAGATCCCAGTGGAAAGAACGGGTCTTCAAAGAAGGAGGTACCTTTCTCTGAAGGGAGGAGAGAACCTCCACTTTGACTATGACCTTGTCTAAACAAGATAAGAGTCGGAGAACTCAAGGGGCTTCCATAGCTTTGGAAACTCATGACTGGTGCATAGGGAGATTACTGATGCCATAGACAGGAGTCTCAATTGGTAAAGTCAACAACAGGAGTCACTGTGCACTTACTCCTCATGTAGGATCTCTGTCCTTGATGTGCTGTACATTGAGGCTTAATGCTATAACGAGTACTCAAACAGTATATTTCACTTCATGTTTCTATGGGGGTGCAAACGGTTGAAATCTTTACTTAATGTATACTAAGCTGATCTTCTGTTAAAAAAAAAGAAGAAGAGATTAGCAATTCCCAACTTGACTCTCACTGGGATTAAACATGACAATAGGTCTGATCTGATTTCATCATCATTTAAAAAATCATCTATTATTTTTCACTTTATGTCTGTGTGGGAGCAAACTGTTGAAATCTTTACTTAATGTATGATAAACTGATCTTCTGTATATAAAGAGAATCGAAAATGAATCTTGATGTGAATGGAAGGGGAGAGGGAATGGGAAAGGGGAGGGTTGCGGGTGGGAGGGACGTTATGGGGGAGAAGCCATTGTAATCCATAAGCCGTACTTTGGAAATTTATATTCATTAAATAAAAGTTAAAAAATGCAAAAAAAAAGAGATTCATTTATTTATTTGAAATGCAGAGTAGCAGAGAGGCAGAAGCAGAGAGAGAGAGAGAGAATCTTCCATCCGCTGGTTCACTCCCCAAGTGGCTGCAATGGCCAGAGCTGGACCAAACCAGAACTAGGAGCCAGGAACCAGGAGCTTCTTCTGGGTTGTGGGGAGCAGCCCGGACTGGACTGAGTTACTGGAATTAAGACTTATTCTATGCATCTGCTCTCCCACAATATGGCGCTGGGAGAGAAGTAAACAGCTTCCGCACAGCTGCCTCCAGTTCAACCAATAAACTGTAGGACTTGCTCCTGATTGGAGAGCAGCGTACTCGGCGTGTGGGCAGCCGAGTTAGGATTGGCGGAGGAGGACTATAAAGGAGGAGAGAGACGGCATGCACCAGGGAACATCTAAGAGGAACATCTAGCTGAAGGAACACCTGTGCAGCCCCCGAGAAGAGCCGGCCGGCGGTGTGCCGCTCCCCTGCGGAAGTGGGGAAAGCGGCCAGGGGGAACCGCCCTTCCACGGAGGTGGAAGGGATAGTAGCCAACCCGGGAAGAACCAGCAGCAAACCCGGGGAGGGCCGAGCAGACAAAAGAACAGCGCAGGGTCTTGTGTTGCTCCTCCACGAAGAGGGGGAGCGACATGGGTCTCCTATGTGGGTGCAGGGGCCCAAGGACTTGGGCCATCTTCTACTGCTTTCCTAGGCCACAGCAGAGACTGGATCGGAATTGGAGCAGCTGGGACTCAAACCGGGACCCATGTGGGATGCCGGTGTTGCAAGAGGTGGCTTTACCCACTATGCCACAGTGCCAACCCCAGTTACTAAGTATTTTGAAAACTGTTTTTGTATTGTTTCTGTGAAAGTGATCTTTTCCTAGCTTATTAGCATATAGGAAAGATAATGACTTTTACATATATTCTCATGTATTCTTAAAAACTTTCTAATTATTTCTAAATTTTTTGATCGAGTCTCTTGAGCTTTCCATGTACAAAGACATATCATCAACAATGTTAATTTTATCTTTCCTTTTCTAGTAGTTACAGTTTTACTTCTTTTGCGTATCTTTATGCATTAACCAGAATTTCTATTAGATACTAAGGTGATCAACTACTTAATATTAAATATAAAAGTTGATAGTATATTTCTTTGTTTCTAATTGAATTAAAAATTTGAAGTAGTAGAATTTTATCTGAAGCATCACAATGGTTTTCTTTCAGTAACATGATATATCATTCTTAAGAATATTTCCTGTGTATTTAGAAAGTGGGTGAAAAAGAACCATCATGAAAAAGATCTCAAACAGAAGAGAAGACATTTAAAAAAAGGTAAGGTATTAATGAATTTATAGGGACTTTTATCTTTCTAAAATTCTCAATTATAAATATAGGATAAGCATGATAAATATGAGATATTTAATTCTGTATACAAATCATACATTCATATATTAAATATGGGAGCTTTGGAAAGAATCGTATTCTTTTTTGGTCTGTCATCATGTAATGACGAACATTAGAAATGTGTTACACATTTATTTATATATTCTCTTAAATATTTGTTTATTTGTATGCTGTCTTAGCCAACTATCAAGTCATTCCCAGATTTGCTCAAAAACTTTCATTTGTCAGTGAAACATATATAGGACTAATATCTCTGTATCTCTCAGAGTAATTCTAATTAAGCTTCATATTTCATCCCTGCCTTCTAGATGGAGATGGGAAGTTGTGAAAAAATGTCCAGAATCCTGGAAATAGTGAGTGTGATATTGAGAAATAGAGACCTTTATTAATCACTTGACAGGGCTGATGGTCCATCATTTCTTCAATTGTTGTTATACCTTGATAAAGAATAAAAGTACATGTTTTTGGCCGGCACCGCGGCTCACTAGGCTAATCCTCCGCCTTGCGGTGCCGGCACACGGGGTTCTAGTCCCGGTCGGGGCGTCAGATTCTGTCCCGGTTGGTCCTCTTCCAGGCCAGCTCTCTGCTGTGGCCCGGGAGTGCAGTGGAGGATGGCCCAAGTGCTTGGGCCCTGCACCCCATGGGAGACCAGGATAAGTACCTGGCTCCTGTCATCCGATCAGCATGGTGCGCTGGCTGCAGCGTGGCGGCCATTGGAGGTTGAACCAACGGCAAAGGAAGATCTTTCTCTGTCTCTCTCTCTCACTGTCCACTCTGCCTGTCCAAAAAAAAAAAAAAAAAAGTACATGTTTTTAATTCTCTTAGGTGGATACTGAAGTTTAAGAAAGTTTTAAGGGTGCATGCTGGTCTGTGATGACCTGATTCAATAAATGTGACATATAGTACAGGAATCAGTGGTGGATTCAGAAGTTCTTTAAAAAAGTCTGGGCTTGGCTGGCACCGTGGCTCAATAGGCTAATCCTCCACCTGCAGCACCGACACACCGGGTTCTAGTCCCAGTCAGGGCACGAAATTCTGTCCTGGTCACTCCTCTTCCTGTCCAGCTCCCTGCTGTGGCCTGGGAGTGCAGTGGAGGATGGCCCAAGTGCTTGGGCCCTGCACCCCATGGGAGACCAGGAGAAACACCTGGCTCCTGGCTTCGGATCAGCGTGGTGTGCCAGCCGCAGTGCGCCGGCCGCAGCGGCCATTGGAGGGTGAACCAACGGTAAAGGAAGACCTTTCTGTCTGTCTGTCTCTCTCTCCCACTGTCCACTCTGCCTGTCAAAAAAAAAAAGTCTGGGCTCTCATGATTATGTGTTGTGTTATAATCATGTTGTTACTCTATGTCTTAATCCAGTTTGTGTTGCTATAATAGTGTAAGTTAAACTGGGTACTTTTCTTTAAACAAAAGAGGCTTATTTACCTAATAGTTTTGGTGGTTCAACAGCCTGGTGCTGGCATTGGCTTCTGAGAGGGGCTTCTGGCAGATAGCATCACGTGACATGAGTATAGGAGTGTGTACAAAAGAGACAAGTTATATGGCATGAGAGGAAGCAAGAGACTGGAGGTAGTGAATGTTAAGCTTACATATATATATATATATATATATATATATATATATCCACTCTCAAGGAAACTAATCTTTCCAGACCCAACCCATTCTCCAAGACCAGCGTTAATCCCTTCCGAGCATGTTTATGGAGCAGTTACCTCTCATTTGGTCCCATTTCTTAAAGGTGCAATCACATTTCAACATCATTACTTTAGGGCCCAGGCTTGCAGCACACAAACCTTTAGGTGACAAACCATATCCAAATCATAGTATCCAAATCATTTCATTTTTGACATGAATCTGTGTTTTTACTGTGATTGGAAAGCTGATGTGTGTGTGTGTGTGTGTGTGTGTGCGCGTACGCGCACACGCTTGCTTGCTCTTCTATTTCAACTTCTCATTAGTTTTGGATAGTGTGTATTATTTCAGAAGTCTTTGCTATTATATTTATTAACTTTAGAATTAAAGCCATGAGGGTGGGAGGGTGGGAATGGGGGGAAGAAACACTATATCCCTAAAAACTGTACATATGAAATTTGTATTCATTAAATAAAAACCTTAAAAAAGAATTAAAACCAAACTTATATCCCTTGTCATTTTTTAAAAGATTTTATTTATTTATTTGAGAGTCAGAGTTACAGACAGTGAGAAAGAGAGAGAGACAGAGAGAAAGGTCTTCCATCCTCTGGTTCACTTCCCAAGTGGCCGCAATGGCCAGAGCTGCGCAGATCTGAAGCCAGGAGCCAGGAGCTTCTTCAAGGTCTCCCATGCAGGTGCAGGGGCCCAAGTACTTGGGCCATCTTCTACTGCTTTCCCAGGCCATACCAGAGAGGTGGATGGGAAGAGGAACAGCTGGGACTAGAACTGGCACCCATATGGGATGCTGGTGCCACAGGCTGAGGATTAACCTACTAGCCACAGTGCCGGTCCCATCCTTATCATTCTAAAAAGGATTTAACATTGATAGAATAATTTACTTTTAGAATACTGAGGTTTTTGCTGTAAACAATCATCAAATCTTAAAATGTCTATTTCACTTCAATACATTATATTTCAGGTACACTGTAAGTTACCTCGGATCAGGGAAAACATACAATACCTGTCTTTGGGGCCAGCGCCATGGCTCACTTGGTTGATCCTCTGCCTGCAGTGCCGGCATCCCATGTGGGCACCGGTTCTAGTCCTGGTTGCTCCTCTGCCAGCCCAGCTCTCTGCTGTGGCCTGAGAGGACAGTGGAGGATGGCCCCAGTGCTTGGGCCCTGCACCCGCGTGGGAGGCCGGGGGGGGGGGGCACCTGGCTCCTGGCTTTGGATCAGCACAGCGCCAGCCATAGCGGCCATTTGGGGAGTGAACCAACCGAGGGAGGACCTTTTTCTCTGTCTCTCTCTCTCACTGTCTATAAATCTACCTGTCAAAAAAAAAAAATAAACTGTCTTTTTGGAACTACCTTATTTCATTTAGTATAATGGTTTCCAGTTACGTACATTTTGTTGCAAAATAAAGCATTTCATTTAAAAAAAAAAAAGAATACTGAGGTTTTTAAAAGCTAGAAAATAACAGATCATCTTTTATTTTATTTAAGGTGAACAAATTTCATTCTTTTCATATATACAGATTTAGGAACATAGTGGTATTTTAATGACATTTTCTACCCTACCCTTCCTCCTGCCCATGCTCCCACCCTTCCTTCTCCTTCCTCTCTTATTGCCTCTCTTAATTTTTACAATGATCTACTTTGTTTTCAACTTTTATTTAATAAATATAAATTTCCAAAGTACAACTTTTGAATTATAGTGGCTTTTCCCCCTATAACCTTCTTCCCACCCACAACCATTCCATCTCCCACTCCCTCTCCCATCCCATTCTTCATCAAGATTCATTTTCAATTATCTTTATATACAGAAGATCAATTTAGTATATACTAAGTAAAGATTTCAACAGACTGCACCCACACAGACATACAAAGTATGGTGTACTGTTTGAGTAGTAGTTTTACCATTAATTTGCATAGTACAAATTAAGGACAGAGATCCTACATGGAGAGTAGGTGCACAGTGACTCCCGTTGTTGATTTAACAATCGACACTCTTATTGATGACATCAGTAATCACCCGAGGCTCTTGGCATGAGCTGCCAACGCTATGGAAGCCTCTTGAGTGCACCAACTCCAATCCTGTTTAGACAAGGCCATAGTCATACCTTCAGAGAAAGGTGCCTCCTTCTTTGATGGCCCGTTCTTTCTGCTGGGATCTCACTTGCAGAGATCTTTCATTTAGGTCTTTTTTTTTTTGCCACAGTGTCTTGGCTTTCCATGCCTGCAAAACTCTCATGGGCTTTTTAGCCAGATCCGAATGCTTGAGGGCTGATTCTGAGACCAGAGTGCTGTTTAGGGCATTTGCCATTCTATGAGTCTGCTGTGTATCCTGCTTCCTGTGTAGGATAACAATGATCTACTTTCAATTTACTTTATACTCATAAGATTAACCCTGCACTATGAGTTCAACAAATAGCAAGGAGAAAAAAACACTATTCCTCAAAAATAGAGACAAGGGCTGTAAACAATGATCAAATCTCAAAATGTCAATTTTGCTGTTAAACATTTTGATACTTTATTTGTTACCACAGATCAGGGAAAACATGGTATTTGTCTTTTGGGGAATGGCTTTTTTCACTGAGTATAGTGGTTTCCACTTGTATCCATTTTGTTGCAAAAGAGAATTTCATGCTTTTTCATGGCTCGGTAGTATTCCTTACTATATATTTCTTTATCCAGTCTTTTTTGATGGATATCTGGGTTAATTCCATATCTTAGCTATTGTGAATTACACTGCAATAAACATGGGGGTACAGATAACTCTTTCATATGCTGATTTCACTTCCCTTGGGTAAATTCCCAGAAGTGGGATTGCTGGATCATATGGTAGATCTATTTTCAACTTTCTGAAGTATCTCCATACTGTACTAGTTCACATTCCCACCAACAGTGGATTGGATACTTTTTCTCCCACTTCCTTACCAGCATTTTTTGTTTATTGATTTCTGTATAAAAGCCATTATAACTGGAGTGAGGTGAAACCTCACTGTGGTTTTGATTTGCATTTTCCTGATGGCTAGTGATCCTGAGTAATTTTTTCACATGTCTGTTTGCCACTTGAGATTCTTCTTTTGAAAAATGCCTGTACATTGGCCGGCGCCGTGGCTCAATAGGCTAATCCTCTGCCTTGCGGTGCCGGCACACCAGGTTCTAGTCCCAGTCAGGGCGACAGATTCTGTCCCAGTTGCCCCCCTTCCAGGCCAGCTCTCTGTTGTGGCCTGGGAGTGCAGTGGAGGATGGCCCAAGTGCTTGGGCCCTGCACCCCATGGGAGACCAGGATAAGCACCTGGCTCCTGCCTTCGGATCAGTGCGGTGCACCGGCTGCAGCATGCCGGCTGCGGCAGCCATTGGAGGGAGAACCAATAGAAAAAAAAAAAGGAAGACCTTTCTCTGTCTCTCTCTCTCACTGTCCACTCTGCCTGTCCAAAAAAAAAAAAAAAAGAAAGAAAAGAAAAGAAAAGAAAAAGAAAAATGCCTGTACATATCCTTTGCCCATTTCTTAACTGAATTGTTTGTTTTGTTGTTGAGTTTCTTGAGCCCTTTATAGATTCTGGATATTAATCCTTTATCAATTGTATAGTTTGCATATATTTTTCCGATTCTATCAGTTGCCTCTTCACTTTACTGAGTGTTTCTTTTGCAGTCCAGAAGTTTCTCAGATTGATGTAATCCCATTTGTCTATTTTGGCTTTGATTGCCTGTGCTTCTGGGTTTTTTTCTAAGACATCTTTGCCTCTGCCAATGTCTTGCCAAGTTTTCCCAGTGTCCTCTTCCAGTAATTTGATGCTATCAGATCATAGATTTAGATCCTTGATCCATTTTGAGTTTATTTTTGTATAAAATAGGGGTCTTGTTTCATACTTCTGCATGCAGAAATCCAGCTTTCCCAGCATCATTTGTTGAAGAGACTGTTCTTGCTCTAGGGATTGGTTTTAGCTCCTTTATCAAAGATTAGTTGGTTGTGGATTGATTTCTGGAGTTTCTGTTCTGTTCCATTGATGTACATGTATATTTTTGTGCTAGTACCAGGCTGTTTTGATTACAAATGCCCTGTAGTATGTCTTGAAATCTGGTATTGTGATTCTTCTGGCTTTATTTTTGTTGTATAGGATTGCTTTAGCTATTTGGGGTGTCTTGTGTTTCCATATGAATTTTAGCATCGTTTTTATATAGATCTGAGAAGAATGTTGTTGGCATTTTGATTGGGATTGTATTGAATATGTAAATTGCTTTTTGTAGCATGGCCATTTTGATGATATTAATTCTTCCAATCTATGAACATGGAAGATTTTTTCATTTTTTTGTGTTTCTTCTTCTATTTCTTTCTTTAATGTTTCATAATTTTCATTGTAGAGATCTTTTACCTCCTTGGTTAAATATATTACATGGTATTTAATTTTTTTGTAGCTATTGTGAATGGGATTGATTTTAGAAGTTCTTTCTCCGGCATAGCATTGCCTGTGTATACAAAGGCTAATGATTTTTTTGTGTTAATTTTACATCCTGGCACTTAACCCAATTCTTTAATGAGTTCCAATAGTCTCTTTTGGGCCTCCTATATATGGAATCGTCTCATAATGCAAATAGGGATAATTTGAAGAAGCGCTAATCTAATACTGATTTTTTTCTTATGCTAAAACATTTGACTAGAATTACTGGGAAACAGCCAGAAATATGATTTTGATATTCAGGGATGCCATCAAGGTTGGAGACATGGATTTGGGAAGCCATGGAAATGTATAAACTCTCCAAAAACTTGGAATGTACTTGCATTCGAACTATAGGGAGAAGTGTAACTATTGAAAGATGCATGATATTAAACTTATTGTACAGAACTAGGGATTTTTTCCATCTTACAATAAACATACAAATATTGTGAATAAAATGAACAAATTGTTATTAAACTTACTGTACAGAACTATGGATTTTTTCCATCTTACAATAAACATACAAGTATTGTGAAAGATGCATGAATACGTGACCAGAGAGGTAGGAAGGTGGAGGGTCAGTATATAGAAAGTTTTCAGAAAATAAGGGTGCTCAGCTTTGCCAGATGCTATAATCAGCCAGGTAATAGCTAATGCTGGTATAATGTTGAGTTTTCAAAATATTTTCAAAATAAGTCTCAAATAAGTCTAATCTCATTTCATATGTCTCATTGACACATGAAAAAGATAATACAGAATACTAAGAACTAATCATTGAACTTTTATCATTAAATTGTCCTTTTTATATTAAGAAAGCAATTTCTTAATTTAAAAATCCATATATAAAGAACTCAAACATATTAATAAAAAGATAAAATTTAAGAAACCAAGCAAAGGATATAAATGGGTATTTTAAAGGAGATGAAGTTCCAATGACTGACGAAATTTGAAAATATATTCAATGAAAAAGCAAAAATATACAAATTAACTCTCCCCACTTTTTTTTTCAGATGTCAGAAGAGACAAACAATATTGCAGTAGAAGAAATTGTAGATAAGCATCTCCAAAAAGGTTCTCAGTATACCACAACTCTGATATTCTTGGTTTTTATTTTTAAAAGATGTAAATAATTAATCCCACACTAGGGTTTCAGCTGAGAATACAAATTTCTTAAGCAATTAGTTTAAACAGGACTTAAACTTCCTAGATAAATCAAGGTGGACATAAGGAAATACACAGAAAACTTAATATGTATGATTACCTAAATTCCATTTTTTTCTATCTGCAAACATGGAGACTTCATTAGTGCTTGAGACTGACAGTAAAGATACACACACACACACACACAGATTTATACAACCTTTTTGTTTACAAACTATACAGCCTTTTTCTTTCTCAATTCCTCTAGTGGATCAGCCAGAATAAATAGATATAAACAGGATAACAGAAAATTACACATGGCTTAGAGTGCACTCAACAGCTGGAGCCTTCGTTATACTCTACAAAACTATTTCATTTCCCTTTAGAGCTGACAGAAGCAGGGGTCAGAAGTATTATACTGATCTTACAAAACTAACATAAATAATTAAAATGACTGCCTATGGACTTATTTCTCTTCCTTTCAGATTCCTTTCTTTCCATTTAAATCAGGTTGAAGTAACCTAGCTTTAATATTTGTATATCTCAATTTGTATATCTCACAGAGCTGTAAATAAAGATAAAAATGTTCTGATCTGAGCCTTTTTAGGGAGACCTCACTACAAAGAAGGACCCTGGCCAGTAAAAAGACTGGCAGTAGAAGAAGGTGACAGAGGGTACAGAAGTCATCACAAAGGGAAACAAAATTTAGTTCTGATCATGGGTGAATGCATTTATTCCAAATGGAGCAAGGGGAAGGACATCCGTGGGTGTTGGGTTCTAAGTTTTCATGGGACAGTGACCCAGTCTTCATACTTGTTATGATCCTTAGATGTACATGCAGTTAAGGTACTTAAATCTCTTGTTGCTATTGCTGTTTAATGATAAGAAAGTATTGTTAACTCTATATTATGTTCGTGTCCTGATAGATTTAGATGCAGAAGAAAATCAAAACATAATAGAGACATTGAGAGGCAAAGTAAGAGAAAAGCTAAAAAATGCTAAGGTAATGCTTTTTAAACTTTTCTTGTTTTTGAAAGTGCTTTTTAAATGAAACTGATTGCATAATAAACTTTTTTTTTTTTTTGGACAAAAAAAGGATGAAGGGCAAGCATATAGCTGGTGGTTAAGATGTTGGCTCATATGCCTGTGTACTACATTGGAGTACCTGGCTTCAGTTCTTGACTCTAGCTTCCTGCGGATACAAACCGTGGGAGGCAGCAGTGATGGCTCAGTTGATTGGTTCCCTCCCACCCATGTGGAAAACCTGGGGGCATTTCAAGTATTTAGGAGTAAACCAGTGGATGGGAGCTCTCCCCGCCACCCCAGCAAGCTATCTCTATCTATCTATATCTATCTCTCCCCCTCTAACAAGCTATCTCTATCTCTATCTCTATCTCTATTTGTAGCTCTGTCTATCTCTGTCTCTCTGCCACCTACTCAAATTTTTAAAAAGGAGAGAGCTGAAATTCAGTTCTAATATAGCTTCTTAATTCCATAAAGTTCCAAGTTGCTTCCCATGTTTTTTCCCCTTTTCTATCATAAAGTCCCTATAATGTCAAACCTAAAGCCAAGAAAAGTTAAATGATTTGATTGTAGTAATTATATATGGCATCTCAGGGAAATACACAACATATGTGTGCACATACACACGTGTACTTTTTTAAAGAAGCACATTGAGAAATCTTGATTTTTATACATTTTGGAAAAAGATTCATGAGCTCAATATGTCTGTTTCTGTAAAGATCTATTTATGTTGTGTTTCAGATAAATCAAGGTGAAAAATCTTCAACTCAGCTGTTCGTTGATACTAAGCTACATCAATGGTCTAAGGTGAATAACTGTTTTAAGCAAAGTAGCTTTATGGACATAAACTTTCCAATACAGATTTTGTTCTGAAACTCAATATTTAGTAGTATACTTAAAATTTAACGTGACAAAATATTCAGATTTGGGGTAACTATATTATTTAGAGCATGGGTGAAGGAACTATAACAAAAAGATGTAAGATAAAAATGTCTTAATTAAGATACACGCTTTACTTCTATATTTTGTAACTGTTAAGTAGCCCAGACTCGGCAGGACAGTTCTGCCATCTTCTACATATGGTTTTCATCTCTGAGTCCATGGCAAAACTCCAGTGATTTCATTTTTTGGCCAAAAGGGAGAGAGAGGAAAGAGGCAAAGGAGTGCAGGTTGGTCTTAATGGATAAAGACTTGCAAATCGCACACATCATTTCAGTGAAAGGATATTGGGAGATGTGTCTAAGTATCCAGCTAAAAGTAAATTGTTTTATCAAAGGTTGGGGGGGAAGACAATAATGAACAACTAGTAGTTTCAGCCAGAAGCACCTAGAGTATTTAACTCTTCAAATTGTAAAATGCAAGGAATGTTGTTTTTAAATTTGTCTTGTGTACTGTGCCCTGCTCAGGCCCTTAAAATTTCATTTTACTTAGGGGTAGTCATTTGACCTATTAATTAAATTGCTGTTTTGGATGCCTACATCCCATATCAAAGTATACAGGATCAAGCCCTGGCTCTGCTTCCAAATCCAGTTTTATGCTAATGTACACACTGGGAGGCAGCAGGTGGTGCCTCAAGTAGTTGGTTCTTGGGCCTCAGACTGGTCCACCCCTGGCAGTTACAGACATTTAGGAAATGAACCAGCAAATGGGAGCTCATGTTGTCTTTCTCTCTCTCTCTCTGCCTCTCAAATAAAAGTTTCCTAAATGAATCTTAATTATATTTAATAGCAAAAGCAAATTAAAAAGAATGTTTATGTACATATTATTCATGCAACATATGAATAAAATCATGCTTATATTGGATTTAATTTAACCATGAATAGTAAAAAATATGAATAGTTTAAAAATTCTCGAAGTTTAACAGTTGAATACCAAGCAAAGAGTTAAAAAGAAGAGAAATTGGTTTCAATGCATTTCCATACAAACCACTAGACTTCTCAGGAAGTAGAGGATTTTAACAAGTGGTTTGGAAGGCCAGCGCCACGGCTCACTAGGCTAATCCTCCACCTGCGGTGCCAGCACTCTGGGTTCTAGTCCCGGTCGGGGTGCCAGATTCTGTCCTGGTTGTCTCTCTTCCAGGCCAGCTCTCTGCTGTGGCCAGGGAGTGCAGTGGAGGATGGCCCAAGTTCTTGGGCCCTGCACCCCATGGGAGACCAGGAGAAGCACCTGGCTCCTGGCTTCGGATCAGCACGGTGTGCCGGCTGTAGTGCGCCAGCCGCGGCGGCCATTGGAGGGTGACCCAAAGGAAAAGGAAGACCTTTATCTCTGTCTCTCTCTCACTGTCCACTCTGCCTGTCAAAAATAAAATAAATAAAAAAAAAAGTGGTTCAGAGTTGAGCAGAGAAAATGAGAAGTAAATATACTCTATTATACTGACAGTTCATATATACTGCATTGTTACCAACTGAGTAACTTTTAGGGTTAGAATAGAAGAAAAGTTTTTGTATATTGTTTTAATTATTTGAGTCCTCATAACAGAGCTTTCCTTTTCATTATAGAATTTGTTCTTTTATAAACTTGCATTAAAACAGTTTGATTTAATATATTGTGTATGAGTAAGCAGTGATGTCTTACATTTCAAAGATACAGACTTTACAAGATTGTAAAAAAGAAAGCAAGTTTATAACTAAGAATATGCCACTTTTAAGACTTTTAATTAGGGGCCAGTGCTTTGGCAAAGCAGGTTAGTCCACCACCTACAGCTCTAGCATCCCAAATGGGTGCTGGTTCTAGTCCCAGCTGCTCCACTTCCAATCCAACTCCCTACTAATGTGCCTGGGAAGGCAGCAGAGGGTGGCCCCAAGTGTTTGGGCCCCTGCACCCAAGTGGAAGACCTGGAGGTAGCTCCTGACTCTTGGCTTCAGCCTGGCCCAGCCTCAGCTGCTGCAGCCATTTGGGGAGTGAACCAGCAGATGGAAGACCCTTCTTCCCTCTCCCTCTCCTTCCCCCCTCCCTCTCCCTCTCCCCCTCCTGTCCCCTCCCCCTCCTCCTCTCCCCCTTTTTCTGTAACTCTGCCTTTCAAATAAATAAAATAAATCTTGAAAAAAAAAAAGACTTTTAATTACCTATAGCTCCACTAAAGATTAAGGAGTGAGGTGGTACTTATGCATGTATCCAAGCACATATGTGCTTGAGAGGACCAGAAAAGAGGAAGGGGAAAAAATTTGACCTGAGCTGGCATTTCAACTAAACTTTGAGGTGAGGCAATAGTTTAAGAAGAGAGGATATTTTGACTCTGTTTTGATTCCTATTGCAGTCACAAGAACATTTAAAAACAAACAAAAAAACCCCTCATGAATCAACCAATCTCAAAGCTAAATATAACTTGGTATTCTTTGTCCTACTTTTCCTTCTTTATTAATAAGGTAATAATTAATGTTTACCATATTACAAAAAGGTATTTCCATCACTTATAAGCAGGAAAATAATTCATTTCAACCCTAAATAGTGGTTTATTATTTGATCCACAGAATGAGGTCTTGTTGGATGAAGGTCTTTCGTTTTTCATTCTGAGTGGTGAAGAAGACTCTGCTTTGGGTCAGTCTTCAGAACAGGTTGGATTTGTCCCCTCCTATAACTTCGCTCTTGAGAAAATGACTCTTCATTAAGGGAGATGAGGTTTTATTTCTTTTTTTAAATTTTTTTTTTTTTTTTTTTTTTTTTTTAATTTTTGACAGGCAGAGTGGACAGTGAGAGAGAGAGACAGAGAGAGAAAGGTCTTCCTTTGCCGTTGGTTCACCCTCCAATGGCCGCCGCTGCAGCCGGCGCACCGTGCTGATCCGAAGGCAGGAGCCAGGATCCAGGTGCTTTTCCTGGTCTCCCATGGGGTGCAGGGCCCAAGCACCTGGGCCATCCTCCACTGCACTCCCTGGCCATAGCAGAGAGCTGGCCTGGAAGAGGGGCAACCGGGACAGAATCCGGCGCCCCAACCGGGACTAGAACCCGGTGTGCCGGCGCCGCAAGGTGGAGGATTAGCCTATTGAGCCACGGCGCCGGCTTTCTTTTTTTAAATTTTTTTATTTTTTATTTATTTATTTTTGACAGGCAGAGTGGACAGTGAGAGAGAGAGAGAGACAGAGAGAAAGGTCTTCCTTTACCATTGGTTCACCCTCCAATGGCCGCTATGGCCAGCACGCTGTGGCCGGCGCACCGTGCTGATCTGAAGCCAGGAGCCAGGTGCTTCTCCTGGTCTCCCATGCAAGTGCAGGGCCCAAGCACTTGGGCCATCCTCCACTGCACTCCCGGGCCACAGCAGAGAGCTGGCCTGGAAGAGAGGCAACCAGGACAGAATCCGGCACCCTGACCGGGACTAGAACCCGGTGTGCCGGCGCCGCTGTACAGCATACCCTAGAGAGCCGCATGCTGGACTGCTGATTTACTACGAAAGGTCCTTCCCTTTGAATTGACTGTTCATACCTAATATTTATAGAGTGCTTACCGGATGCCCAACAATATACTAAGTTCTTTAAGTGGATTATGTCATTCAGGTCTCATAATAAGCCCCTGTAGGGCAGATATTATTATCTTTATTTTTAAGTGAGGAAACTGAGGCACTGAGGGTTGAGCACTGAGAGAGCTGGGAAGTACAGGCTGTCGGCTTCAAAGCCTGTGTTTGTTTGCTGTTCCTCTCCTTCTCATCAGGTGTTGCACATATCTGCATTACACCTCGCGGATTCCACAATCTCTGTCCCACCCAGTCCCATTCCTGTCCCTTCTAATTTCTGTCAGTTCTTCCCAGTCCTTCTCAGACTCCTTGGTCTCTCTGTGGCTCTGTGGTAGGTTGCCCTTCCTCCAATAAGAGTACCAATTAGTTTCATGGGTCTATCTCCCATCTCCTCCTGACTTGTCAGTCTTACCAGTTTCCCTCTCTGCTCCTGTCTCTACGTCCTTTTTCCAATTTCTCTGTACCTTCAAATCTCCACGGTGTTCTTGAGGCTCGTGCCACCCTGTACCTCTGTTCCAAGTTGTCCCAGCTCATGTCTTCTAACATCTGTCAATCATTTCCAGATTGCTCAGAGCCTCTTTTCAAGTCTCTTTTTGGTGCCTATTTGTTCCTACTTATCACCCAGACTCTTTCAATCCCCTTTCTTTGAATTTTGCTCCTTTCCTTCCTTTCATTGTTGTTTTTTTCCATAATAAAATACTGTCTTTTAAATTTTTGAACAAGTAGAATGAATACATTATAGAAACCTAATGCAGGAAAAGAGGAAAAAGAAAATAAAGTCACTGAAATCCGCTGCCCTGAATAACCACTAGATTATTTTTATATCTTTTTCTGCACTCATCCTTGTACATGAACGCATAGTTTTATATAAACACCATCACAGTAGTAAATGAAAATTCCATTTTTCCAATTGCTCAGCCAAACCTTGGTGTCATCTTTGATTCCTTTTTTTATTCAACATGCCTGTATCCAATTCATCACAAATTCTATTGGTTCTACATTCAAAATATTGCAGAATCTGGCCCACTTTTTGTTACTTTCAATGGCACTGCCCTAGTTTAACTCTCCATAATCTGTCATTTGGATCATTGCCAAACTTCCTCTTCGTATTTGTTATTTCCCTTTTAGTCTATATTTAATACCCTACAGTATTCAGTATGATCCTGTTAAAATCTGGGACAGACCATTCTTTTGCTTATACCTTCTGGAGGTTTTCTATCTCACTTAAAATAAGAGCTGAAGTTCTTGGAGGTGCCTTCAAGGCATATATGACCTGGTCCCCTTGGTGCCTCCCTGATTTCATTTCTTATTACTTTCCCCCTTTCACCTAACTCCAGCACATTAGCTTCTTTCTTGTTCCTTACTTACACTATGCTCTTGTCTTAACAGTCGTTGCACCTGTTTATCTGCCTAGAAAATTCTTCCTTTATCCTAGTTCTCTACCCCTCACCAACTCTGGGTCTATGTTGAGATGCCATATGATCAAAGATACTGTGTCTGACAATAGTATCTAAAATAATACCCCTCAATTCACCCAGTCCAGTGCTTGCTATTTCTTTACCGTGTGTTTTTTTTCTTCCTAACCCTTATCACCATCTAAAATATTTTTTTGTCTATTTGTTTGTTTTCTTCCTGGAGCATAGTAGGCACTCAATGAATATTTGGGTGAATATTGAATAAATGGGTATCAAACATGCCCATGTACTTGAATGACAAATCATCTGACTTCCTAGCACCCCACTATTTGGGTTGAAGAATAAATATTTCTAGCAAACAAAAGAAAGCCCAATCTCTGATCCTCCCACCCAACAGAGTATGCCAGGACCAGGGGTTGTGGTTTGGGCTGCCTTTCCTTCTCATGGGGTGAGCTTGAAAGAAATTAGGTTGATAAGGGTTTGGGGTGAGACAAATGACATATACTGAGCTTGAGGAAGTTTAGAAGTGAGCTTTTTAGAGAGGTTTTCTGGAAAATCCATATATTTGGTGATTTTAAGGTCCACAAAAAAATTACTCTCCCCATCATAGAGAAGAGAAAGTACTATAATATGAGAGGCTGAGTTTGCCAAGACTCCCCTTCTTGGTAAGAGAGGAGCCCTGGTTCCAAATATCTCATCTGGGCGACCTAGAGTAGGTCTGCGGTTACTTTCATATGGTTCTTCTTTTCACACCACAATTAATAAGGCATTTTCCTGGGAGCTAAGTGGGGGCCATATCTCTCTCTTTTTACCATTCAATACTGAATTTGTATTCTTTTAAAACTTGTATTCTTTTACTCAATTTGTATATCTTCTGACCTCATACTCTTGTCACACAAGCCAACAGACACTGCTCTGTTGGGAACTGCATAGTGAAGACCAAGAAGGTGATGATCTAGGGCAACAACTAGACTTAGACTAAGTGAGGAATAATTGGGTATACTGGGCTTATGTTGGTTGAGATCACAGCTTGTCTCAGGGAGACTGGGTAGGACTCATAAAAGACAGAAGCAATCATAAGTCAGTGATTGGAGTACAAGACGAGAGGCTGACATACTCAACTGCGGCAGACCTCAGCCCTAGAGGCAGCAGGGTTCTGTATAGGAAATCCAGCTGGAGCAAAGAGCCCTTTTTGGTCCACATTTGGAATCTTCTTCCTTTTTTTTTTTTTTTTTTTTTGACAGGCAGAGTGGACAGTGAGAGAGAGACAGAGAGAAAGGTCTTCCTTTTTTTTTTCCGTTGGTTCACCCTGCAATGGCCTCTGCGGCTGGTGCACTGCGGCCGGCGCACTGCACTGATCCGAAGCCAGGAGCCAGGTGCTTCTCCTGGTCTCCCATGGGGTGCAGGGCCCAAGTACTTAGGCCATCCTCCACTGCCTTCCCGGGCCACAGCAGAGAGCTGGCCTGGAAGAGTGGCAACCGGGACAAAATCTGGCGCCCCCACCGGGACTAGAACCCGGTGTGCCGGTGCCGCAGGCGGAGGATTAGCCTATTGAGCCGTGGCGCTGGCCCACATTTGGTATCTTCTAAGAGATGTTTCATATCCATATCCTCTAAATCTTGCTCCCAAATATCAGTGTTATACCTTGTTTGAATTCTAAAAATGCTTCCCCAAAGATTTCTAGATATAAAATATTTTCTTGATTTCCTCACAGGGTTGGAAAGGATGTGATGCTATGATGACTTGATAAGCATTACTTATTTACTTCTGTTAGTGTCAGTCAGGACCATGTAAGGTCCTCTAGTCAAAGGAATTCTGTGGTTAATTGTTTTTATTATTTATTCTAAATGTATGGTTTTGAGAATTGAAGTATGTGCATGACTCACAGTACTCTCATTAAAATATGTAGATTTCAAATTAGATAAGTAAAGTAATTGAAAATAAACTGATTTCATTTAGTGAACAAGTTCATATTAATTTTCTGGTCATAAAATAAGCAATAGCATGTAATATTTAGTAATTTATGCTTCCATCCCTATATTCCATATATACATTTCAGAATTTTACTGTAATCACTGTATTCTTTGATACTGAATCTTTTCTTTCATTTTTTTTTTCCTTAAATGCCTTATAGAAAACAGCATACCTGTACCAAATCATTTTAGATATTGCTATTCTCTGACTGATGAAGATAAAAGGAGGAGAGTTAAGGCCACACGGCCTGATGTCTTTTGACTCTGCCCCACACTTTGCATTCTCAATAGCTGAAAATAATTTTAATGTTTTAGCATTTCCATAGAGCAGGAGGGGCTTAAATTATAATTCTACTTCAGCAGACTCTCATCGCTGAATTGCAAATATAGGCTATAGCAAAATCATATTGTATACCTTAAATGAGTTCCTCTATGTTTGGTGAAATTTCACTACAATTAATTTCAGCTAAAACTTGATTTAGGTATCTTACATAAAAAAGACTGTCCACAGTGGCTGGTGTTGTGACATAGTGGGTTAAGCTGTGTTCCAATTCAGCTTCCTGCAGAGGTTCTTGGAAGGTTAGCAGAAGATGGCCCAAGGACTTGAGCTTCTACCACCCATGTGGGAGAATAGGATGCAGTTCCTGGTTCCTGGCTTTGGCCTGCCTGTTGCAGCCATTTGGGGAGTAAATTGGCAGATAAGATCTCTCTCCTCCCTTTCCTCCTCCTTCTCCCTCTTCCTCTCTATATCCCTCTCTCTGTCATTCTGCCTTTCAAATAACTAAGTAAATCCCTTAAAAAATAAAAAAGATTGTTCACAGTTAAGGTTCCAGTATATTTTATATGTCTTTATATTAACCATTGGAAACAATCATATTGTATATTTTTTTTCTTTTTTGTCTTCAACAGAGATCAGGAAATGATAGTTACCCTAAATACTTTTCACTTGGCGATAATTTACAAAATATTGCTGAGGGTCAAGATGAAGATTTTATGGAAGAAGTCATTTTTACAGATTTACTTGAGGTAAAAGCTGCTGAATATGAAGATGATCAGGAACAAATGAAAAAACAGGCCACAAATATTTTTGTGCCAAGTAGTTCTCCAGGTAATATTTTTTTCAATAAAATATTCAATTCTTTAATAATATTATAGAATAGTAGCTTCTGTGCATGCTGGATAAGCAGAAAGTACTGATTTAAAATTATAATAAATTTTCTATGTTTTTCATGCCTCCTGTAAGTTAAGGAAATTAAGAGAACTCATTCATCATTTATGTATATATCATACTTCAAAAAGTTCATAGGAAAATGGAATTAAAGATAAGTTTATTGTGGTACAAACAAGTTTGAAATCCATGAAGTTTTTCCATAATAAACATTTCCATGAACTTTTTGAAGATCCTGGTGTGTGTGTGTGTGTGTGGTGTGTGTGTGTGTGTGTGTATGTATTACACACTGCTATACTTCATTTGTAGGGTATGACGATAGCTCCTTTGTGCTTCATATTTGGTCAATATTAGTTTAACTAATTAAATTTTGTTACTAAGTGATCAGCCAGCGTAAACTGCCAAAAAATATGATGCCACGCATTTTAGAAGATGAAGGATTCTATATTCAGAGAAAGCCAGAAATATGTAAAAAGACCTGCAACAAGATGGAAAATCGCCTGCTTAAATTAGATGAGGCAAGTGCAAGAGCTAACAAACCACTCGATAATAGTGTATTATATTTGTTCAGTGAAATATTTAATTACTACATTTCTTAAATGTTTTTGATAGGGAAAGTATTGGTTTGAAGAGAATGGAGAAATAATGTCATTACCTTCACCTATTAGGCAGTCATGGAATTTCAGACTAAATCTAAACAAAGAATCTTTAAATCCAACACTAAAGACCATATACAGGAAGGTAACCAACAGTGTTTTACTTGTAACTATGATTAGAATTTTTGTACTATCAGTTACAACTTATCTTTTTGTGATGTTGATTTACCCTTTAAAGCTATTGTCTTGTATAATGGTAGAACTATAGTGAAATGTTAAATAGAAGTTAAAATTGTATTTTAACAAATATTGAATGACATGAAGAAATGCTCAAGACAATTTGTAAAGTGCAAAGAGCAGAATGCAAAAATATACATGATCCTAATTTTATAAAATAGATATCGAGTGAGTGAATGAATTAATAGTATTTGGGTTGTCATTTTACTTTCTACCACTATAGATTACTCTTACTTATTTGTTTTGTGTGTTTTACATAAAATAGGTACTCTGTGTTGTGTGGAGCAGTAGTTTGCTCATTTTTGTTGCTGTATAGAACTCCATTGTATAAAAATACAATTATATATCCTTTTTGCTTTTGAATGATATAAGTTGCATCCAGTTGTTGGCTATTACTAATAACACTACTAGGAAAGTTTTGAACATATATTCTGATAATTTTATGTATATCCTTTTGGCATGGAGTAATATCTCAGAAGTACTGTGTCATAGCTTTATTTGTGTTCAGTTCTACTATATGATGTTACTTTCCCAGAGTGGTTTATACCAAATTCAACAAATTAAACTAGTAGAGTATGAGAATTCCAGATGCTTTATATTCTTGCCAACACTTGGTATTGTCTGTTAATTTTTTAAAAAATTTATTTATTTATTTATTTGCTTGCTTGTTTATTTGAAAGGCAGAGTGACAAAGACAGAGAGAATCCATTCATTGATTCATTCCCCAAATGGCCACAACAGCCAGGTCTGGGCCAAGATTAAACCAGTAGCCGGGGACTCCATCCTTGTCCCCCACATGTGACAGGGGTCCATGTACTTGGACCATCATCTGCTGCCTTCTCAGGCATATTAGCAGGAAACTGGAGTGAAAGCAGAGCAGCTGAGGCTTGAATCAACATTCCAACATGGGATGCCAGCATATCAAGTGTAGCTTTACCTGCTGTATCACACTGCTGATGTCTTTTCTGCGTTGAAGTCATAACCACTCTGGTGGATATAAGAGGTATTTCAGGGCCAGTGCTGTGGCGTAGCAGGTAAAACATCTTCTTAGGAAAGAAAAGGGCTTATTTTGGCTCACAGTTGGGAGGTTCACAGTCCCAGGCTGGCAGCCATGTTGGTTGATCGCAAGGGGAGAAGGTAGCAGACAGGGAGCAATGGCCTTCATCTACTCTCTGTGCAGTCTGTCCTCCTCATGCAGAACTATTCAATCATGGTCTCCAGTCTATCAGCATAATCCAATCGAACCACTTTCCAAGGCCTTGTCTTCAGACACCATAATTAGATTAGGTTCCAGCCATAATCCATTAATACGAGAGTCTGGGGATTAAGACTTTTTAATTATTTCCAGACCATAACAGTATCTGATAACCAATATCTGGGCCATTTTAGGTTTGTTTTTATTATTTTTTTCTCTAGGTTTTGATCATTCAGTCCTAGCTTTTACTCTGATTTTTAAAAATGGTGTCCCATATGTTATATAAGAAAAGTTACAGAGACCCTGAGTATCAGGGTCCTGCCTTTGCTGCTGTCTCTGCCAGGTACTTTATTTAATATCTTCTGAAAAGTAAATATAGACATTATATGTGTCCCCAAGCTTGGATGTTTTTTGTACTTTTATCTGTGTGCTTTTGGTGTAATACCTCTATCTGGTTCATAAAGCTTACCTAATTCCCCTTAGTAACTGCTGCTTATAACTAGTCTGTCAGGGAGCTTATTGGCCCATAAAAGAATTCATCCCAGTATTGAACAGATCTAACTATTTATTGTTTTGTGTTGTTGGGTTAAAATTTGACTCCTCATAACTATTACTCATTTGACCTCATTTGGGCTTTGGAAAATTCATGAAATACTTCACTTCTTGACAGCTCTTCAAATTTTTGTACCCCATAGTAATTTTTACCTTTAATTTTTGCTTTCTAGTAGAAACTCACATTCTTTTATTGTTGTTAGATATTTCAAAATCTCAGTTACACTCTTTGTGGCTTCTGAGCACCATGGTCATCAGGTACTGAATAGGATAGGACCAGGGGCTTGTGCCACTCCAGTTGAGGCCCAGAGCAAGTAAGCAATGCAGTTACGTTTAACAAGACGCGCATCTCTAGTTTAGGAACTTTAATTACCAAAAGTTCTTTTGTAATTTGGTTGTTTAAAATTGAAACACTTTTTTCCTTTAATGTTTTTCTCTTGGTTAATGACCAGTTTATAAATTTACTACCAATTGACTAAATCCCTTGGGTGGAATCAAGAGGAAGTTTTCCCCTTTCAGCTGGTTCCCCCATAGAGAACAGACTTACCAGATATGGACTAAACAACAACAAGCTTTTTAGTGTTCCCCTGTCTCCCTGAAGAAGGGGAGGTTCCTAGCTCAGGAAGCAATAGGGAGGTAGAGATGAGGCACTATATTGGTGGCCTGCAGCCTTTAAGGAAGGAGTACTGCCATTACCATTCCAGGGTAGGGTGGGACAACAACTTTTTCAGTGTAACAGCAGATGTAATAGCAGTGGCACAGACTGAAGGGCCTTTCATTTTATACCAGCCTGATCCAGAGACAGCACTCCCTGCTCTTCCTTTTTTAGTTGGATGTGATCATGACTCTCACTGGAAGTTGCTAGGTATTCATGTTAACCTGCACATGATTAGTAGCCCACTAACTCCCAAATTACATCATATGCATATGCAAACATTTGTGATTACTTCAAAAGGGTGGAATAAAACATGGAAGAATGATTTTGCATGTAATCTGAGGCCTACAGACTTGAACTAATTTGGGGACAATCTGATACCCAAATAGAGACAGTGCAATGTACAAAGGGAGATGATCTCCTATTAATGCAGCATTTGCTTAGAGGACCCAGGTTCCTGAGGGGAATTTTTCATAAGAGCACCAATACATTCACTTAGAAACAAAATGTCTTAATAGGTAGGTAATTACCATTTAACTCTGGCCCATAGAGGCTTGTTCCATCATATGTCACCGAACTATTGTTGTAAACAATATTACATGTAAACAATATTACAATAATGTATTATTGTTGTAAACAATATGACATTATTACATTATTTTGTAATAATGTTCCTATAATGTCCTATAGGAAATGATTATTGGTCTAATAACTTGAAAGTCCAGCCTCTACCAGCACACAATAGTGAGGTAGATGACAAAAATTTACAGCAAGATGATCAAAATGCTGTTACATGTTTTATGAAATTAAGGGCCATAATTTCAAAGAATAAAGATCAAATCATTATTATTATTTCTTTTCTGTCTCTCTTGATTTTCCTTCCATTGACATGTTACTTTTATTTACAAAAAATTACTTGTAATTTCAAGAGAAATTTAATAAAATTAATATTTTGCACCCATATTTTTTAAAAGGCAATAAAATCTGACCTTGGAAGCACTTTCAGGAACAAAATGGAAGGTCAAAGGGAAATGTATCAACTGGATCTCAATATTGTGGGTTTGCAATTCAGTCATCATCCTCTCTTCAATCAAGAACAAGTATTATGTGCTAGGCTGCTTCAGCTTTATGAATGTTTTCAAGACAGGCAGCAACAGAATTTACCTCAGCTGCTTTATGAGAAGGTATGAATGGCTCTCATTATATTCTTACATCTGAACATTTACTATTGAAAGAGAAAGAAAATTACCATCATACTTTGAATATTTAACCAATTGAAACATTAGTTTAATTTTTATTTTTCTGGAAAGAAACTAAGGAGTTGCATGGGAAGGAAACAGCCTCAAACAAATCCTGCAAGATACCTAATACATACACATAAATAGGTTTCTAATCCATGGTGTTGTTGGTCTTATTACTCAAGGAAAATTGCCATGTGCCTGTATTTTGATAAAAATGTTAGGTATCTTGAACATATGAATTGTAAATAGTCCTGGTCTGAGGATGACTAATTTAGGTCATCACCTGATGATGTTATGAAGAGTCTAAAAAGTCTGAAGGGAAATCAAACTGATTATTTTTACAAACATAAATTAATTTAAACTCTGCTGAGTTTCTAATCCATGATAATTTTGTTAACTAATGTTCTCTCAGAAATATTTTTTTAAAACTTTATTTGACAAAGAGCAAGCCAGGTAGGCAGAACTTTTATTCTTTGTATCTCTCCCCAAATGACCACAAAAGCCAGGGCTGGGCCACAGCCAAAGTAAGGAGCAGAGAATACAACTCAGGTCTCCCACATGGGAAGCAGAAACCCAGTTACTTTTACCACTGCTTCCCAGGGTCTGCATTGGCAAGAAGCTGGAGTAAAGAGCCAGAGCTGAAATCAAATCTAGGTACTCTTGATGTAGGATGTGGGCATCTTAACCACTAGGCTAACCATCCATTCCCAGAGAGGTATTTTGATAAATCTCAGTCAACTAATAAATATATTTGAAAATAAATACCTAATGGCCGGCGCCGTGGCTCACTAGGCTAATCCTCCGCCTTGCGGCGCCGGCACACCGGGTTCTAGTCCTGGTCGGGGCACCGGATTCTGTCCCAGTTGCCCCTCTTCCAGGCCAGCTCTCTGCTGTGGCTGGGAGTGCAGTGGAGGATGGCCCAAGTACTTGGGCCCTGCACCCCATGAGAGACCAGGAGAAGCACCTGGCTCCTGCCATCCGATCAGCGCGGTGCGCCGGCCACAGCGCGCTGGCCGCAGCAGCCATTGGAGAGTGAACCAACGGCAAAGGAAGACCTTTCTGTCTCTCTCTTTCACTGTCCACTCTGCCTGTCAAAAAAAAAAAAAAATACATACCTAGTGAGATATTTAATTAAACATTAAATCCTGATGGAATCCTCAAGACATCTCAATAAGCTAGTCATAATTGCACCTTAATACCTACTTACTTTTAAAAATAGAACTATAAAACCACAGGGCAACTCCAGGATTGGTTAGTTTGGAGACTGAACAATATCACCAATAACCCTAGCCTTTTATTTCCTACTCTTCATTTTCAGCAAGTTGACTTGGTTAACCATATGATTGTTGCAGTTTACAACATTCTGACCAGACAAAAATGCAGCATAATGTTTCATTTTAAGAAACTTCCCTGGTTTCTACTCTGTCCCTCAGCAGATGTTCCCTCGTATTCCATTGACTAGAATTTTATCACATGATTATGCTCGTAACAGTCACTGGCAAAAAGAATGAAATTGTTACAAATAGCTAGACTAATCAGAGTTTATCTCTGAAGCATTTAGATTGAACAATTGAAAAATCCTGCCAACCAAGAAAAGTGATTGTTTGGGGTGACCATTATTTCCTGACAGGCCAAAAGTACAGACACCTCTCTATATATTCTTGGGATATATTTATTACATGTGTTTCTATGTATATGCATATGTGTGTGTATTTTCTGGCCTTTTATTTAGAGTCTGTACTTGTAGGTTGGGTGAAGTTGGACTCTCACTCAGTTCTTTCCCCAAAAGATACCATGCTAATATCCAAACACCATTATTTTCCAACCAGTTTAAAATACTTTTGAGGGTAGGTATTGTGGCACAGTGCATGGGACTGCTGCTTGGATGCCCACATCTCAGAATGCTGATTTGAGTCCTGTCTATTCTACTTTACATCCAGCTGCCAGCTAACGTGCCTGGGAAGGCAGCAGGTAATGACCTACATACTTAGATCCCTGCCAACCATGTGAGAGACCCAGATAGGGTTCCAGACTCCTGGCTTCAGCCTGACCCAGCTCTGGCTATTATGGGTGTTTGCAGAGTGGATCAGAGGATGGAATATTCACTCCCTCTCTCCCTCTTCTTCTCCCTCTCCTACCCTCTCTTTCACCATCTTATGCTCTCTCTACCTCTCCTTCTGTCACCCTGTCTTTCTAATAAAAAAAAGATGGTTTATCCTAAACTAGCTACACAATTTATATAGGTTTAAGAACTTATTTCATTGAGATATTGCCTAGCCCTGCTCTGTTTTCATTATACTCCATTAATAAGTTATGATATATAGTAGGAAAAATACCTCCTCATTATTTTTCTTTTTAGAATGCTTTTAGGTATTCTTTTTAAAAAGATTTCTTTATTTATTTGAAAGGCAGAATTACAGAGAGGGAGGGGAGTGACAGAGAGATCTTCGATCTCTAGTTCACTCCCCAGATGGATGCAACAGCCAAGACTGAACCAGGTTAAAACCAGGAAGCTGGAACTCCATCTGGGTCTCTCATATGAGTGCTCAGGAGCCCAAGCACTTAGGCCATCTTCTGCTGCCTTCCCAGACACATGAGCAGGGAGCTGGACTGGTTGTAGAACAGCCAAGACTTTGATGCTCCTCGTATGGGTTGCAAGCACTGCATGCAGCAGGCTTAACCTGCTGCACCTCTCTCTCTCTCTCTCTGTCTCTCTCTCTAAAGATTTACTTACAGAAAAATCAGTTATAGAGAGGGAGAGGAGAAAAGAAGGTGCATGCTTTTATAGATTTATTCTTCTATATGTGTGGGGAGCAATCCGGACTGGACTAAGTTACTGAAATTAAGACTTATTCTATGCATCTGCTCTCCCACAACATGGCGTTGGGAGAGAAGTAAACAGCTTCCGCACAGCTGCCTCCAGTTCAACTAATAAACTGTAGGACTTGCTCCTGATTGGAGAGCAGCGTACTCGGCGTGTGGGCAGCCGAGTTGGGATTGGCGGAGGAGGACTATAAAGGAGGAGAGAGACGGCATGCACCAGGAACATCTAAGGGGAACATCTAGCTGAAGGAACACCTGTGCAGCCCCCGAGAAAGCCGGCCGGCGGTGTGCCGCTCCCCTGCGGAAGTGGGGAATGCGGCCAGGGGGAACTGCCCTTCCACGGAGGTGGAAGGGATAGTAGCCAACCCGGGAAGAACCAGCAGCAAACCCGGGGAGGGCCGAGCAGACGAAAGAACAGCGCAGGGTCCTGTGTCGTTCCTCCACGAAGAGGGGGAGCGACATATATGAACCTTAGAATTAGCTTGTCACCTCCTATTTTTAAAATCCTATTACTACCTTTAATGTGATTGTATTGTATTATATTAATTTTGAAAGAAATTTTATCTTTATAAATATTGGCTTTCCTCATTCAAGAATATAGAATGTCTTCCTGTTGTTTTAGGTCTTCTTTTGTGTTCCAATAAAAACTTGTTTCAATTGACTCTAGTCTCCAAGTTCCTACAAACTGCTTCTAACTGTGCTTGTGTATAATGGTATAATTTCTTCTAGTTTTATTTCCGTATGAATATTGTGGATGTTATGCTATTTTATACCTTCTGCAGTATATCTTGTTCTCTTGATTTTATTTTTATTTTCCTATGTTATTATTCCCTCATACTTTAATAGAGATGCATGTAGATAATTACTAATACAAGCATATAAATTTGGATTGATGATGGCAATGGATATGGATAAGGGCAGACAAACATCTTTTCTATGACCATGGGATTTTAGGTGAAAGCTAGGGTAGATTTCTCTGCTCAATATCCATCTTGATTTAATGCCATTTCTTTTTATCAATTGATAAACCAATTGGCAAGCATCCTCAAAGTATATTTATTGCTTACACAGATATAGTCTCTTTTCAATTTTTCCCCAAGGTGATTAAATGAAATATATTTTGGGAGACAAGATAATAATATGTGAAAAAGTTATACAGCTGTGCTTCCGCATATACCTAGATCTGCAGGTGAATTGGAGTAATAGTAACAGATGGGTGAAATGCAACAAAAGATGTCTTTTCTTTGTTATAGCTGAAAGCACTTAAAGATGCTACAAAATTAGCAAATGAAAATTTGGAAATAAACCAGCTGACTAGAGAATCTTTAGAAGATTATTATTGGCAGATAAGGTAAGTTTTGAACTATTTGCATATTCTATCTAATACAGTATAGTAAAGTAGATTGCCTGAATGTCCCTCCTAGTGAAAATAACTAAAAATTTCTGACAAAATGCAAAGCTTTATTGTTAAAGTGACGAAATGGTAAAGAATCTACAGAAGTCAGAAACAAAGTGATGCTAGTGTACTGCATTTGTGGGTTAAGCATTTCCTATGTTCATGTTCTAGCTGTCCCACTTCTGATCCAACTCCCTACTAAGTGCAGGAAGTGAATAATATGAAATTAAAATTTTAAAGGAAGAAGGTAGGTTCTGGGAAATGGAAGAGCAGCAGGAAGCACCAAGAATTCCACTCCTGCTCAGACAGCTGTACTGGCAGAATCTATCTGATGTGACTGTTCTGAGCTCTGGAAGCTATTGAAGGCTTGTAACATCCAGGTGAAGTCTTGGATGGTAAATTGCAGTCAATTTTGGTAAATTCCAACTCAGCACAGCAACAGCTTCCCATCTCCCACCCTTCAGCCCCATGGCAGGCATCTGTTCACATCCTGGATCAACTTGCATGCATTTTGTAGGAGCCAGGGTAGACAATAAAATACTGTGTCCTCCAAATATTGGGGACCTGGGATCTGATCACTGAGTGCTGCTTGTGGTTACAGAGGTCCAAAGAGGGGAGCTTTGTTCCTTTACTGCCACCCATTGTTGCAAGCCTTTCCTCCCTGGCTGAAGTCATTTCCAGGAGATTTAAAAGGCTGGTGCCCTGTTTCCCACACCTCTTCATTTTTCTCTTTTTCTCCTTTTGGGATCCAGATATTAAAGACCAAGACACTAAAAAGCAGCTGTATATATGAGGAAAATTATAAAGTGATAGTGTATACCTACCTAGGAAAAGGGACAGACTCAAAAACAACCTGTGAAGACCTCACATTTATATCTTATGGCATAGACAGCCTACAATTATGAGAATAAATAAATTAAAACAGTAATAAAAAGCATGAAACCTTGAGAGAAGGGAAACAATCCAATTTTCAGAGTTATCACATTATTAGATTAAAATGTTCAATTTTACAAAAAAAAAAAACTAGAAAGGACACAAAGAAGTAAAGGTATACTCGACTCAAAGGAAAAATATAAATCAACAGAAACTGTCCTTGAAAATGACCTGATGGTAGGTCCACTAAACAAAGACTTTAAAACAACTGTTGTGGTGATGCTCAAAAAAAATAAATGAAAATGCAGAGCAAGACAAGGAAAACAGGTATGAACAAAATGGAAATATCAGTAAAGAGAAAATTAAAACAGAAAACAAAGAGAAATTATGGAACTAAAGAGTATAATAACTGAAATGAAAAATCACTATCGGGATTAAAAGGCAGATCTGAGCAGGCAGAAGAAAAGAATCAGTGAACTTAAAGATAGGATGATATAAATTATCTGGTTTGAGGAACAAAAAGGAAATAATTTGAAGAACAGCAAATAGAAGCTAAGGGATATGTGAGATACTGTCAATTGACTAATATACTCATTGTAGGAAATCCAGAAGGATTATATAGAAAGGTGCAAGAAAGAATATTCAAAGAAATAATGACTAAAAACTACCCAAATTTTATGAAGGATACGAATACAAACATTTCAGAAATTCAATTAACTTCAAGTAAAATTAACTCAGAGACCTGTTGCAGGACATGTTTTAACTAAATTTTTGAAGCCAAAGATACAAATAGTTTTGAAAACAACTAAAGAGAAGTGACTCTACACATACAAATGATTCTCAATATCAGCAGATTTGTCATCAGGAACTTTGGGAGGCCTGGAAGCAGTGGAACGATAGATTCAAAAAAAAAAAAAAAACCCTCCTAACCAAGAATCCTATATCTGGAAAATTTTTCCTTCAAAATGATGGAGACATTAAGACAATTCTAGATAAAAGTTGAGGGAATGTTACCACTAGATCTTCGTGCAAGACGCTCTCAAGGGAATCCTGCAGGCTGAAATGACACTAGAAGTAACCCAAAGTTATACGGCAAAATAAAGATCCCAGACAAAAGTGTCTGGGTCATTATAAATGCTGGTATTAATAGCAGTTTGTAATTCTACTTTTTGTTTTCTGCATGATTTAAGAATTACTAGTCTATGGGGAACAAACAATTTAAAAAGGGGCAATTTGTGATATCAACAACTGAAAGGGGTAGAGACAGAGTTATAAAGGAACAAGGTTTTTATGTTATTAATATTTAGTTATGGAATCCAAGTGATTAAAATGAAAAGAAATAATAAGACAGAGATTTCATATGCAGGTAAAATGGAAAAAAATAAAGTAGGAGGAGTTCAGAAGTATTAATGCAATACATTCCCCTATGCCACTTTTAATGGTTTGCAGTTCCACCATTTTTTGATCTATCATTATTGTTGTAGTAATACAAAACAACTATATGACTTAGAAAGAAAAAAGGACTTCTCCTTACTAAAGAACATATTACGGACTTGGAAACAGATAAAATCCCTTCGACAACAGCAAGGGTTTACAAGCACACCAATAAAGTTACAGTTTCAGAGGTGAGTGGTTGCTCTGTTTACTCTTAATAGTCTCTTGGGGATCTACACATTAGTAACTGGGAATTCACAGTAACTGAGGGAAAAGTCTAGAAGCTTGAAAACTATTCCATAGTCAATAAAGGAATTCCATCTTGAATATATATACAATTTTTACAACTTAATAAAAAGACAACCTGATTAAAAAATGGGCAAAGGGTTTGAACAGACACTCCAGTAAAGGTGTATTGGTGACAAGTGAATATTGAAAAGATGCTCAATATAATATCATGTCAATAGAGAAATGTAGATTAAAACCACAGTGAAATAGTACCACACACCTATTAGAATGGCTAAGATTCAAACCAGAAGAAGAGAGAGAGAGAGAAATGAAAGAAAGAAGGAAAGGAAAGAAAGGGATGGAGGGGAGAAGAGAGGAAGGAAAGAAGGAAGAAAGGAAGCCTGGATAGAAGGAAGGAAGGAATTAAATTTTGGATAGGATGCTGAGCAACAGAAACTTTGATTCATTTCTGGTGAGAATGCAGCATGGTAGAGCCACTTTGGAACAGTTTGACTCTTTCTTTCTCTTTCTTTTCAACTTTTATTTAATAAATATAAATTTCCAAAGTACAACTTTTGAATTATAGTGGCTTTTCCACCTATAACCTCCTTCCCACCCGCAACCATCCCATCTCCCACTCCCTCTCCCATACCATTCTTCATCAAGATTCATTTTCAATTATCTTTATATATTGAAGATCAACTTAGTATATACTAAGTAAAGATTTCAACAGACTGCACCCACACAGACATACAAAGTATAGTGTACTGTTTGAGTAGTAGTTTTATCATTAATTTGCATAGTACACATTAAGAACAGAGGTCCTACATGGGGAGTAGATGCATAGTGACTCCT